TTTAACCCGATTTGGATTTAAATTGGCTGATCTATGTGACTTTTAATTTTATCACTGATCGTCCAAAGACTTTTGCACCAGACTGTATATTGAATAAAGCGAATATTTTCCTAAATTAATCTATTTTTTAAATGATTAGCTATCATAATATAATTTTAGGCTTTCTGCTTGAAATTCAGATTGAGTTAAATGATTATTATCAATATTCTAATCTCAATAACTTGGGATTCGAATCATTGATTATTTTTTCAAAAGAATATTTGAATATTCGAGTATCCTAATAAGACACATTCAGAGACTTGTTACCATGTTAAATAACTGTGATACTGTTAGACATTACCTATAGTTACACGGTACGTTTGTATTTGTGAATTTTCGAGTCCAATCCTTTTTTTTCGAAGAGTATTATCAGCTAGAAATTATTAATTAGATGGATGGATTATGCATTTATAACTTCGCAATAAAATTTCACAAAATTTTGAAAACAATTTTTTTTCCTTAAATGAAATAATTTGATTTAAAAAAGGTCGCAAAAACTTTGATCTTGACGGCGCAGTAACCCGATGATCGTTAATCCCATAATACTTGAAAAATGTATAATATCCCGAATTCAATAGTCGTTGATCATCAAGGTTTGATTATTGTTCCGTTGTGAACTAATTGAATGATCATTCCTATGTGGGTAATTTTGACTCAAAAGTAGTCCAAAGAGTGGAATATGTTAGTATTTTACTAACAATTTTGTTTTCTTCAAGAAAATAAAAATAATGAATGGCATCTCAGTTAATGAAAATGTCATCTTTGTCTATCATTATATAGACTCAGTTTGATTCTTCGATGTTTTTTTTTTTATAATCCTAGATTTAATTTTATAAAATAAACAAATAAATAATAGTACCTTCCAAATCATTTTGGTCGTTATTTGAAATAAGCAGTAAAGATGTAAATGATTTTCTTTGGTGAAATAAAAATGATGAAGAACGTTTTTGAATATGGAAATTAGATCGTATTCTAATTTATGAAAAATTCTTGAAACTTTTTTTTTACAAGCTTATGTAATAAATAGAAATTTATTTGTTCATATCATAAGATTAACTAGAAAACAATACGTTATCGAGAATACGTAATAACTAATAACGTCTAATTATTTTCATGGTTTTTATAAACTATTTATCACATCGACCATTAAACACTAATTCTCATTTTTGGTTATATTGTAAATTTTAAATAATTAAAAACTGAATATTTGAAAAAAAAAATCCGACCCATTTCCTAGAAAACCCCATTAACGAAAAGAAACCATTGAATACATTGGTAAAAATCGTGAGAATGAAAACCATTAGAAAACCAGTTTTATTTTTTAGGAAATGGATAAAATTGTTTTGGACATACGATAATAATTTATAAATTTTAGGTTTGATCCTAGTTATAATCTTGTTTATTTTCACGCTATTCTTTTGTCTTCATAAAATTTACACCATCACAAGCACAAACTTATTAACGTAGTGATTTCAAAATACGTAATCAAATAAATTATGAAAAATTATATAAAATCCTTCATAATTTTTTTTTCTTTTAATTAATCTAAGGCTAAATTAAAGATAAAATAACCATTTCCTATCATGTCATCAGTGTAAAATATAATAGTGAATACAATTTTATTTGGAAACTCAATTTCTTTAGATGTCTGATATACAAGGTAAAAAGTAACGAAACTATGAGGCGTCTGGTTCAGTGATTTTTCAAGTGCAACTTAAATTTATTTTATCGTTTAGTAGTTGAAATTTCAATAAAGTCGTCCCAAAATTTAATCTTTACATTTTTTAGATGAACACGAAATCAATTTCCAACCTCAAATTAATGTTATTGTAAACCCAAACGAACTTGTCGAACTTTTCGCCCAAACTTTACCGGTCCCGTACTCAAATTACTCACAACCTCCGATTCGAATAGCCCGACTTAAAGGTACCCAGATCCAGGTGTAGCAAGGGTCGAATTTCACATGAATCTCTATGACGATTTGTAATTAAAAGTTTTTAAATTCTTTTTACATCTACTTTTATTAAATTAGTTTCTATAAATTTTATAATTTTAAACATGTTAGTTTAGCTTGCTCAACTGTCCAATTGTAACTTAAAAATTTATTCAAGATGTATTGATGAATTCACGCCGAACCGAATGGCGGCATCACTAATTACCTTAGCATCTTTGACATTTGCTGCAAATTTTCACTCTTCAAGGTCCGAGTCCTGTTCGATGCATTAAATTCTACATAATATTATTTGAGTTTGTAAGTTCTTTAGTAGAACTTTCCAATAATTTTAAAGAATATGTAAGATTATTACCCGATACTTAGTATTTTTGTTTTCAGAATTGTTCTTGCAATTGTTAGTTTTGTTTATGTTGGGTCTTGGTGCTGATGGTGTGATTATTTTCATTATTAAATTTGTTCAGAAAAACGTTGTAAAGAGTTCTTGCCCAAATTTTAATATTCTGAATTGAACTTATGAACAAATTGAAAAATGATAACCAGAGTTGCCGAATCAAACGTAACATTAGATTATGATTTGATAAGACAATTAGTCCTTCGAACTGGTTTAATTATCGTAAATACTTCTACTTTCTTTATATATTCAATAAAAAATAACTTATGTATGTATATAACAACTTTTTTTATTTCAAGTTTTTTCTCTCCAATAAAGTGTTATCAGCATGTAAACTTTTTTTTTTTGAAAAGATCAGGAAAGAGTTGCCTATATACTGTAATTATAAGAATCGAAACAAAACTTTTATTGTTGAACGGGTTCCAGTATGATGAAGACAAAATATCCAACTATAAGATCTAAACAATTCCGATTACTTGTGATATTTTTTTCGGTTTAAAGTTTTAACTTAGTTTAGAATTATTTTTATTTTATTTATTTTATTGATAGCATGCCTAACGATTGATGTGATTTAAACTTTCTGATCAAGAAAAATTATTTAATCGATAAAAGAAACACTTTTTTTTATAATAATAAAGCAAACAAAAAAAATAAATAAACGTTGAAATATCAAACTGACATTTAAATGAACTTTCACTCCTATATTTAACAAACTCATCTTGATCTTATTATGAAGCTTGATAATCCTATTGCAAATTGTCATTTCACTTCGCTTTAATCGCTTTTTCCTCATCGTCCCTTAAGATTTGCAAGAAATAATGCATAATTAGAATCTTATTTTGAGAAATTAAGGGGATTTTTTATTTTTATAAGGAAAAGGATGTCAGGTTCGATGACAAGGGCCGGTTGACATCATATATATATTTTTTGATATTAATAAACTCTCACACATCATAACTTTAATAAATGTAGACTCTATTTTTCATATCACTCACCCTCTTCATGAATGTCGCGTTCTCTAACAACATTATAAAGTTAAATCAATATTTCTGTCGATTAAATGAGAATAAACGTATCGATATTGGCTCTTAAACCCTGTTTGACTGAATTGTAAATTTTCGATCCATTTCCATGGATAATCGAAAAAAGTAGTTATTTTGTTGGCTAAGTAAATATCTATCTAGTAAGAGACAAAAAAATATTAAAACAATGAATACAACGAGACAAACGTATTGTGAATGTTAAATGTCTAAAAAACTTTCAAAATGGGTTTACGAATCTTAAATGATCGACCGAATTTATTGTATCGACCATAAGTTATAATACATGTGTCTGACGATAAAAGTTTTCTTCTGAGTATCTTAAAATAGGTTCATGCGTAACCTTTTAAGAATATTATTTTATAATGATAATTTTATATCTTCTTTTAAAATTGATAGCTTTATTAAGGATGCTATTGCACTTTATCAGTTTAATCAGATAAATTAACGGATTATTATTCAATTTATTGTCGAAAGCGTGCTTAAGAGATACTATAGCATAATATTCTCAAAAGTATAGCACTTAACTTATATTGTTTCAGAATAGTAATTTTCCGTTCTGATTGTTATCGTAAGTGTTAAATGCACATGCCGAATTGTCGTGCGTTATGCAAAATTTTCGTAAAAAAGTCTCGAATAATCTTATTATGCTCTTTTGTCACTTTTATCACTTTATTATAAATTAATCGAGTTGGGCTAATATTTGTTTTAATATAAATGGATTCAATGACTTTTTTTAATCAATATATTGCTAGTGGGGCTCATTCAATCACTAATTTTTTAAAATCACCAATCGTAAATAATTGATTTATAATAATCATTACAAAATTCGAAATTAAATTGAAATTTTTTGAACATAAATACCAAATGATGTTAATTTTACGAAAACATTTTAACGTTAAGGGAAGGTAAATCTAATTACAGTAAATTCAGTGGCACAGAGAAATTAAATGCCGATTACAATGAGGAGAATTACAAAAGGGATTTCCACTGATCATTTTTTTTTTCAATATAAATCAAACTAATAAAAAACATTATAATCTTTCTTCAACATAGGTAAAGCACACAAAATTGTTATTTTGCAAGAACTTACTGACAAATCAAAAGGTGAAACACAGCGACAATGCCGACACTTATCAAAAAGTAGTCTAGGACTACGCTCCCCATTCATTTTGTTTTTTTTTTATAATTTCCTTTTTCATTTTTTCATTAAATAAAAAAAATATATATATATAAATAAACACAAATGGCCTTAGTTAAATCTGCTGGTCAGTGAATTCACTCCCTGAACTTAAGAACCAAAAATATAGAAAAAAGTATCCTCTCGTTTTGTACTATTGGCAAAGCAAGTAGAAAATATGGGTTCGCTTGTCCTATGTCCAATTTGCGTCGAAGTGCTTCTGCTAGTTTAGCTTTAGATGGTTTCTCTTTTATTTCTTCTACGAATTTATCCAATTTTATTATACAAGCTTAACGAAAAGTCCGTACGCTTAGGCTCTTTAGGATCACGTCCTTGATAACAATTTAGAATTGAAACACAACGATAACGTTAACTTTTATCAAGAGGTAATGGATGTTTTTAAATCAAAATGAGTGTCATTATGATTATTAATTTTATTAACTACTGTACATTAGTTGTACGCTCAGGAATCTATTCATGGAGAAAGAAAAAACGCGTCTAAGTAGAATTGTTAACAGATTATGAAAACAATAACCTAATTTTCAACATTTATACTGAAATCGAAACCTTTCGGTTTCGATGGGTTTCTATTTCGAAACCTCAGGATTTCCCGGCAACCTTACACCACCACCACCTCTTCTACTCAACTCTCGGAACCAATCGTTTTGGTCTGTCTTGGAACCTTTGTGTACTTATGGGTATGTTTAGAGAATTAATATAATAGGTTATTATAAATATTTGTATAAAAAATTGAAAAATTGATGTGATTTTTATTGTAGCATACTGGGTGCGATTTAACTCACAGATTGTTTAAAATGTCTGTATTAAAAGGTTTTCCTAACGCTTCAGAAAATAAAATCAAAATACACATTTTTTCCTTACAATCTTTTTATATATGTCGTTTTCGTAATTTACAAAGCTTAAGTTATATTTACATGCACAAACTGTTTAAACTTTAAAAATTTTTTTTTTTAGATGAAATATTCCAGCTTCAATTACCAAAGCGACTGGAACTCTGAAGTTGCACGAAGCTGAAAGCAGACATAAAACAAACGAACATTATGATCGTCTTATTTTTCTATTATGACGGTACGCTAGAATTTATTTTTGCTATAATTTAGAGATTGTAATCATTATAGCCTTATAAATCTTTTTATTACAGATATTACGGACCTTCTTTAAATCTATAATTACTATGAATCTTTTTTATTTTTTAAACAAAAAACAATTCCTTTAATGTTAAAATTAATCTATGACGATAATAAGATCTTTATCGCTTTTACTGTCACTTTATACTTAATTTCAATAATTCTTTTGCAATAAAAATATCGCTTAGTTCTCAAATGAAATCATGTGTTAATAAGGAAGTAAAGATACGATTAATTTACTACCTCTGAACAAAGCAAAACGAAGTTAAATCCTTTCATAATAGGTGTTCAATTAGTTAGGGCTGTATAGTCTTAATCAAATACTTATGATTGAAAAAGGAGGAAATGGCAGGTCCGATTGTCGGAAATATGAGATCTATCATCGAAGATAGCTGTAATTTTGGAGCCAAGGCGGCACCCGCAAAATGAATTGACTTTGCTAATTCGTGTAAGTAAAGTATTATGATTTTCGTAGAATTTAGCTTGGACTTTTTTTTACCTGTTTTATTTTTTTTTTATTATTAGTCCGGAACGAAGTGAAGGACTATATATTTCTATGAAAAGTCCGATGTTTGCCCGCCCGCTCGTTAATTGAGTCGATGCTGATTGGCTTTTGCAATTTTTTTTTTAGCTAAGATCGTTCCGGTCTTAACAACGTTCCCCTTTCCTAGTATATATAATTTGCTTTAATAGTCAGTTAGTAGGCCAAACTTTTGGACCCAATAATAATGGCAGTATTAACAACATTTCAAGAGGCTCATCATGATTATTTCTTCACCAGATTACAATCCTGGATATTGTTAAATTGATTTTTATTGTCAATGAAAATGATATCAATGTAATAATTAAATTGTTGACTATATAGTTATAGAAATACCTATCATCAAGAGATTTGCAAGTGCCTTTCAAATTCTTTTTTTAATAAAAGTAATTGATCACCTTTACAAATCCTCGGCCAGCAAGTCATAAGAAAACCAAAAATAATTAAAAACTTTACTTCTGATAAAGATCATGAAATTTTTTATCATAAAGGTAAAATAAAAATGCTATATCTTGAGAAAGAATAATGAATAATTTTTAGGTTTATTTGGATATAATGAAATCTAAAACCTCTTCTTACAAAATAAAGAAATAATTATTGCATTAACAAGCCTTTTTAGCTCAAAATACGCGCGAGGAACCATGATCAGAGGATATGTTATATCGTGGGCTCTCAGTTGTTCGGATGTATTT